TCGCGCCTGACGCTACATATCATGCAGCTAGCGTGACCAAGGCAATTTTTAGACCTAGTAGGATTGCAATTTTGGCTCAAGCCTGAAATCTTCTAACTTCAAACCAACATGCAACTTGTAATATAACACATACTTGCATCATACAACTCTTAAATCGAAGAAAATGTAACACGCAACCACAATACACTTACAAGATCATCAATTCCCTCATTCTTCACCAAGAACAAAGAACACCCAGATTTTTATTCTTCAATTCCAACTCAAATGCTTATCAAAACACAAATCAACATGATAAAATAAAAAAATCACAACTTAAGAAATTAAACAACAAGCTTCCCTTACCTTAATTGCTATAGAATCAAGGAAATGGAGGAAGAAAAGAGCAACCCAAAACCCTTTGTACAACGACTTTTCTCTAAGATTTCTAACTCCTTAGTTTGAATCTCAATTTCTACCATATCAACTATCAATTAGGGGGAAAAAATAGATCTTCCAGTGGAATCAAATTGAAGATCAGATTCCATTGACTTCAAAGCATCTTTCTCTAACTTCTCTATGAGATTCTAGAGTAATGAACTTATGAAGTTCATTTATTAGAATTCACTTTATATATCTCAACCCTCCTTGAGTCAACTCTCACACACTTAAACTATATCTCTTATAACTTAAGCTTAGAGTTATCTCAACTCTAACTTTCACACCACAAAGGCTAAAACAATACAACAATATAAAATATCATTCTTAATTACATCATAATTAAGAAAAAAACATGATGTTACAACCTTCACCAATGTTCTTTGCCTCGGAAGTTCACCAAACGACAATATGATTTGTCACAAAAGTCCACGAAACTTCTTGCACAAGACACTCAACATTGCCAAAAAAAAAAAAAAAAACCACTACACTGCACCAAAAATAGCAATACCATCACACTCCACAAAAAATAGCAACACCACCTCGCTCCACTAAAAACAATAAAGCATGCACCAGGAACCATAACAACATCACATATTTACTTGCACAAGAACCGTAAAACCACCGTAATAAAAGAAAGATCGAAATTAGGTTTTTCCTCTCTTGTTTCACGAGCACGTCAACAAACATAGAAATAAACCTTATCAAACAAATTAAGTGATATATCACTGTTCACCAAATCAAGCAAATTACCATCATGGATTTAATAAACCTATGTCACTAACATAAATGACGTTATATACAAATTAACGGTAAGAACTTAAAGAGATAAAAAAAAAGGTAAGTATATGACTAAAAGTTTTTATTTTAAAATATAAGAACTAAAAGATAAAATCAGTAGAATTATAAGAGTTAAAAAGATATAACTATAAAATAATTTTCAAGTCACGAACACAAAATTTAAGATCTCTGTTAGATTATCATAAAAGAGACGTTGTTACACACAAATTAATGATAGATACTTAAAGAGATTAAAAAAAAAGTTAAGTATAATAAAAACTAAAGTTACCTTTTTAATTTCAAAATTATAAGGACTGTTGTATATGTCATTATAAAAGAGACGGTGTTACACACAAATTAATTGATACTTAAAAGGATTAAAAAAAATTAAGTATAAAGAATAAAAATACCCTTTTTAAAATTATAAGGACTAAAAGATAAAATAAGTAAAATTTTAGAAAAAAATATTTTAATAAGATTGTATAGTTAAATTTGAAATGCACGCCTAGGATGCCAAAAATATCGGAATATTCTACGTTTGAAGAATAGTTAATTACAAGCATGCGTGTATTAAAGTTTCAAGCTAGATTGAATTACTATTTGATATTTATTTTGTAAATACTTACATGTATTATACATTCAATGTCACCAAGAAAATAAATTCCAAAAACATTGGTATTCTTTAACATAGAGAAGAATGCATTGTAATATTTTGTATCTATTAAAAAATTGAGTATAATTTACTCTAAACTTAATTATATTAGTAATATTATAATTACTTAATATACAAACATTTAAGTAAAGTAAAATTTATCGATAAGATCTGATATGATTTTGAGAGGTTTTTTTTAAATATTTTTTATAAAAGATTAATATAATATTTTAAAATTAATAATTAAAGATTAATTTATACTTGTAAGTATCTTTTGCTAACAAATCTAGAATTCCTTTATATATTCTGGAAGGGATGGTAAGTTCGTTCATCACCAAACTCACCACATCTATTCAATTCCTTTTTTTTTTCTTTCTTTCATAACATTTGAATTAATCTTTGTTTTAACTTTTTTTCTTCTTCTTCTTCTTGTAGTTGTGCTGCTTTATGTTGCTGTTGGGTCCTGGATTGTTGCTTCTGATTGAATCACAACATAGATTTGTGCTATTGTCCTCAGCACATTTTTTTCTCCTTCATTTGTATTGTATTCTTTGTAGTGATAGAATAATAATCATAAGGATCTTCATCCTCTTGTGACAGCATGTATTTATCCATTAATTTGACGGAAGCTGTTTTCTTTTTTAATTTGTACTTTGAATTTTTCGTCATGTATTAGTTATTCATAATCATATTATTAATTATTAACATTATTACATAATTTTTATGTAGAAAACATTCGAATGCTTAATATATTACTCATGTCAATACCTTTTGTTATCTAAACTCTAAACTTTAAACAACTTTATCATATATATAGAGTGACGGATCTAGAAATTTTAGATAGTGTGGACAATACTTATTTATATATTTGTAGTATTATTATTTTTTACAAGTTTTTATATCTAGGATTACAATTAAAGATGAAAATAAATTAAGTCAGACTAGATTTTATTATAATTTAATAAGTTTGGACCTAACTTTTTTAAAAAATATATATTCTAAGTATGACTTATTTATCTATCAGGCATTTTTTAAATGTTTCTGTACAATCCTAAAGTCCTATTTTATAATAATTTAATATTATTAAAAATATAAAATAAATATGTTAAATTTTATAAAAATCAAGTTTAATTTATTTATGATATAAACATGTTTTTAATATCTAATATATATTTTTAGATGATA